TACGACACCACTTGGACCAATGACAAGAGCACATGCAAGAGCTCTCGAAACCGAGGTGACATCACTCCTCTCACGACTCCCTTTCGAATAACACGAGACATGGCTACTACCTCAAACGGAGATGCTTTGCATACTCATGTACCAAGGAGTTAGCCATGAAGAAGCTAAGAAGCAAGGAGAATCAGAAGTGGAAGACAAGCGTGAAGACGAAGAAGAAATCAACCAAGTCCCAGGCTGGCTGGACGATCCGGACAAGGTCCTTGACGATTGGGACAGAGCCCGGACAATCCGGACCCCGGTCCGGACGATCCGGATAATGCGCCCGAAGACACCCAAAGCTGGAGCCCAAAGACGGACCATCCAAACGAGTACCCGGATCATCCAGACCCTTCTCTGGACATCTGGGCCAACACCGCCACCACCTGCCTCTTCGACTCATCTGGGCCGTCCCCCGGATCATCCGGACACTCACCCAGATCATCCGGCTCCCCGCCCGAATCATTCAGACCCCCGCCTATGTGCGCGTGTTGGGCCAAGGCCCATGTACCTCTTCGCCCCCTTTGCCTATATATATGACTCCTCCACCTCTCTTCTAGGGTTAGCATTGTGATAGCTCATTTGTGAGATAGAGCCTCGCTCATCCATCCGGATATGCTCCTCCGAGAGAGACCGTGCCTCTATGGAGAAGATCCACTTGGATTCAAGACCCCTAACGGGAAGAACTCAAGACCTCCTCACGGAGAAGAACCGGTTACCCTATGTATCATCCCTTGTTGGATTCAGATCGTGTATCTCTTTGTGTTTCGAGGATCTAGCACTTGTGTGATTGATCTTGTTGGTTAAGTGATTTCTCTTGTGCTTCCCCTTGTTTTCCTCTCGTTTCCCCCTCGTGTTCTTCGTGTTCTTGGTAGGATTCCCTCTAAACGTGAAAGATCAGGCGTCTAGGGTTCTGCCCTACATCAACCCCTATCCCTATTTATAAGGCAGCGGATGGATGGCATGCGCGGGAATCGAGGAGGCTGAAAAATGATTATGTGACAGCACAGATGCCTTGATTTTTGGGAGGTTCATTAGAAGTGAAGGTATATTGAGATTTGGGCCTCGTGTGATATTAAGGCGAGATGACATCATGGCGGGTTATAAGATTTCATAAGGACTGAAAGTGAAGGGTTTTTTCTAAGTCAAGTACTGAAGATTGATATGAACAAGTTCACATCAACCTGGGGCCTAATGTTGGGGATATAACTATTGGGTATGACCCGCCCAGGAGGGGCCGGGTCATACCACTGGCCGTTCATAATGAGAAGGCCCAAGAAGATGTTGAAGATGGCGGTTCATGAAGCAAGCTTACTGAAGGCCCATGACCTGGAGGAGACTTGAGGCCCACGGGCATAAACCGCCATATGTTTAACTTGTATGTTAAGAAAAGTTTAGTTTTGTCACCGAGCCGTGCACGTTGTGTATGAGCCGGCCGGGACTCTTTAAGCCGCCGGGCATCATCCTGTGTATATAAAGGGGTGACCCGGCGGTGGGTTAGGGAAGGAAACAACAAGTCCAGAATTAGGTCAAGCGTATTCGCTCCCTAGTAATCGAAACCCAAGCAATACAACCTAAAGCAGGAGTAGGCCTTTACCTCGTTGCGAGGGGTCGAACCTGGGTAAAACTCTCTGTGTCCCTTGTCCTGTTTTAGCCCCTTCAAGCTAACTATGTTGCGATGGCTCCACACCTAAGTCCTCATGCTAGGGCATCTGCCATGACAATTCCACGATAGAAGCCGACCTGGAGGTTGAGCGGCTGCAACATGCCAGCCGCTGCCACTTGTCGCTGCGGCTACAGCCCCGCCGCCACACCCCAGCCGTCATTGTCCGCCATCACTGTCAAGGATACCGAGATTGGATCCACCGCATCAATCTTGAGCCGCTCGCGCGCGAGGAGAAGGCCACCGCCGAGCTGCTCGGGCTTTGCC